TATAGTGTATCCACGACTGAGTCACCGCTGGTTTGTTGGTGCAGTGTTATGGAGACCCAGTCAACCCGGCGTGCTCCTTCCTCTCCATCTCCGCACACCAACTCTCTTGTTGCTCGCACTGCATTGCCATGGCGACAGCACGATATCTGAGCTCCTGCTGAGCTGTCACCTGCGGTGCATCTAGGGTTTCCTCACACAATGGCTGGAGGACACTTTGCTGCACTGCTCCGCAGGCTCAGCTCACAATGAACAGAAACTGTAACCGTGGATACGGGCATGTGGGCTTACGGCTGTTTTGGTCTCCATGCTGATCTGAAGTATGAGCCGATGACGGTATTCCTCTGAACCTTCACCGCAAAGCCTTTGCAAGAATGTCCCCCACGTTTTTACGTATATCATTGAATTAAAATGCCCACCGAACCCGTAGTTCTATTTTAAGTGCTGCAGAGAATTACTTTAGTAGCAAACAAGATGCAGAGTCTAGGGCCCTGTGCTTCAGCAAGGTGGAGCTTTAAAATGAATGCTAATGTGAGAATGTTTGCACAATATGGCAATAATGCTCATACTGTATATGATGTATGCTGTGTAATAACTATTCCCCATTGTCTTTAGTCAGTATTGATCACATTCAAATTGCTTGCCAAGATAACTCCACAAAAATCCTCTTAATCTAGTCTCGAGGCACCTTGTATTTATGAGACCAATTCTATGGAAATGTATCAAATAGTTGGATTCCTCCTATGAGGAAGATAAATGTCTGGACCAATAAAGGAAATTTCACTGAAAAATTAAAACTTGCTTATGGTGCTATTGAAAACAATTCAGATGATTGTGTCATCAAAGCCCTCTTCCGGGTTACGTGTCTGTACAAAGTTGTTGCCCAATAGTTGTTGATATTTGAGTTCATTTCAGAAGCAAAACAAAGGGCTGCTATGGGTGCACAGCTCTCTCCTTGCACCTTGTGTATGTCGGAGCATCGCCCGCACACGAGGACAGTAGATCTGCCCCCGTGGGCTCCTGCAGGGCTGTCAGCTGTGAACCAAGCAACAGCAGCCTGATTGAGCTGGTTCACTGTAATGGAACCTTGCGCTGGTGGGTTCAGGTTCATTTAATCTTCATGCGCAGACTAGACTGCATGTGAGTTTGGGGGCAATTACCACATTTGAATTGCATTGCATGCATTCTCCAAACACAAGACACAAAACACAAAATAAGAATATTCTATATGAATATTTTCCTGATTCCTGATTCCTGATTCCTCCTGATTCCTGATGAGGCAGCTGTTTGTACAGTATGTTCAATTTGTTATACTTTTCTCTGATTTTTAAATAATAGGAGATTAGGGATCACTGGTTTTACTAGAAAAAGTGAATTTCTCTAGGATACTAATTAGTATTTTGCAGGGTCTGGTTTTTATTGTCTTGACTTGGGCTCCTTATCGTTTCCCTGTGGAAAAGGCCCCCATGAGTAGCTGTGTTTACTGTCCCTGCAATGCACTTACAAGAGTCACTTTCCCCAAATGACCTTTACTTCATGTGCTAATCCCACATAAACAGTTTACTTGCCAAACAGACATGCTGGGTGTCTGCCAGCAGATCATGGTAGGTCAAAAATACACCAAATTAAATAAGACATGCATTCTCTTACTGCACCCACAAAGCCTGGCGTGACTATTATTAGAAGTGCATGTATCTGTGCTCCCATGAATCACTTCCTTTTGTTTACCGATATGTTGTAACAGCTGTTATTTTGCTTCTTGCAATATCCCCAGCGCAGATTGTTTGTCATTTATTGCACGTTTTACTGGAATAGGTAAGTTGGGGTTGGGGACCATCTTGGTCCTGATGGACCGCAGCCTTCTGTCAAAGGAAAGAGGCTCAAAAAGTCAGACGGGTCGGCTACAGGCTTGGAGGCAAACGAGTCTTGGAGGGACGGCAGATTGCAGCCAATCACCCTCTCAGCAGAACCAATGACACGCTGCAGCCTGCCCTTGTCCTTGGCTGTGGCTGCAGCGTACCAGACGGTGATGGAGGAGCAGAGGATGGACTCAACGATGGCCGTGTAGAAGTGCACCATCATCGTCTTTGGCAGGTTGAATTTCTTCAGCTGCCTCAGGAAAAACAACCTCTGCTGAGACTTCATAGTGACGGAGCTGATGTCTTTACGCCGTTGAGTTCCAAGTTGTTACCTCCGCACCACGTCCAATGAAGTTGGTGTCATCTGCAAACATCAGGAGCTTGAAGGACTGGTGACTGGAGCTGCAGCTGTCGGTGCACAGGGAGAGGAGCAGATGATGGTTCGCACGCTGCGTCAGAGAGGAAGTCAGTGATCCACTTGCAGTGGTTAAGTCCTGTGATCCTTGTGGTTGGCAATGTGTCTGACGCCTTTCCAGACAGACGCAGAGTCGTTGTTGGAGCCTCTTTGAGTAAATACGTTTGGTGTCTTGGACCGCATTCCAACCTGTGTTTTGACTCTTTTATTTTTGACACTTGTGTCCCCAAAGTTAATCTAGATTTCCTTACCATGATTTTGATTCCGTGTTCCTCATAATCTAGTTGAGTAATGTCGACCTGAGAAGAGATTGAAGTCTCGCTCCCTCTTCGCCTGTTGTTATCAGAACTTCTCCTTGCTTTGTAGACAATACCTTTTAGTGCATGCTGGTGTGCGTAAGCGTGCCACATTTGAAAGCTCAGGGCTGTTCTCATATTGCAGTTAGAGCTGATAATGACATGAGCTTAGCGCCCTGTGTATAACCTCTGGGGAACACACATGTCAACACCTTTGCCTGATTGATAGTCCTGGCCTCCTTAACATAAAACATGATTCAAAGAGGTGAGCTGAACAAATCCAGCGGCATCAGTCTTTGCAACTGATTCCAAGTCTTAATAATTGCTAGAATAAGAAGAGATAAAAATGTATTAAGCGTGAACAGTTCAGGGAACTGCTGTGAATTACATATCATCAGATAGATAATAGATTATAGAAAATATTGGCTCAGTGATTGATGTAAGGCTCCAATTGAAGATGTTTGTGTTGGGCCAACTGATGCATAATACAATCTCCCTCCTCGATCCCAAATTTCCATTCTCTATTTCAATCTTTAGATATTCTAGAGAAAAAAGGAGTCTCAAGCCATCTAAACGCTAAAGGCAAAATCTATCTGGACATGCTTTCGTAGACGTGTACTATAACCATAAAAAAGGTAATCACAGCCAAATTAGCCCAGATTAGTAACGCAGTACACTGATTTTCCTTGGTGTTACATAATTAATAGGCTAACTAAATCAACATGCTTCTTCTTATCTGTGACCTGGACATTTGGGAGTTGGCTTGTGTAGATCTACCGTCTCAGGAGAAAACATTCCGTCTCATGAAGGAAAGAGATTTCAGAACGTTGTCCCCGCCGGTTCAATTTATTGTCCATTTTGTCATGATAAGCATGAACGGCGGATGTGTCCGGAAGGATAAGGTGAGCACCTCAAGGCTCCAGCTTGTGCCGACCTCGCTGAAGCCTCATCGGGTGCTGCCCGTCTCTCGTGCAATGGTGTGCAACTTTGGGGTCTTAAATATGCAGCTTCCACCAGCCGACCCCTTTTGTCTTTTGTCTCTCTCCGGTCATATCTGCCACGCCAGTTCAAGAGCGATAGGCATCTGTGGCGACACATTGTTCTGAAGGGCCTGAAACAAATGCTGTCGGTGAGGAACTGGGTATTGTTTCACCTCAGACTCAGCCCGGGGTCTTTGCTTTATTGCTCGCCTCAGCATATAAAGCCAACGCCGCATGCCGAGCGTACTTCATTGTCCAGACTCCTGGAAGGAAACGATACACTTCCTGCGTCACTTATGGCCATTGCCCCCGAGTTGGACTTTTATTTTCCATTTAAGGGGCTGGCTTGGTGTCACACTCGTAGAAAAGAAAGCACGAGAGCGACGCCGGCATGAGGCTGACACTTGTTGTTTATCACGAGAGTTGCCTGTCAGGGGGGGGAACGCCTTGCAGCCTTATCACCACAAATCAGCTGGATTGCATGGGCCCGCGGGTCGACTCCGCTTGTAAACAGAACTCCCTCACCCTGCCACGTCGAAGCCAAAAATGACTTATTTTTAGCACTGCTAAGCAGAAAAAGGAGATGTTATCGTCTGTTTGGGAAACAGTCAAAAAACACACACTACACAACAAAATACGGCTAATGAACCTCACGTTGATTACAGAGTGTCACATGAAAAAGGCAGAAGGGGCCGTGTACAGAAAGTCTTATGCACTCTGAGCTCCAGCTGGTGTAAATGTCAAAGAGGAGAAGAACATCTCTGTTACGGATATCATATCAGAAACAATATTCTTAATTTATACTTCTTCAGTGCCGACAACGACAAAGTGAAAGAAGAAATTCAGAAAACTCAGATGAGCTAAAACATCATGTTACTCAGAGATCTCTTGTAATGACAATGTATGCATTATTTTTTATGTTATATTAATCTGCATTTCTTCTTTTTGTCGACTAGAGTGTAATTTTTACCCATTTACTGTATTTGGCATATATTGCATGTCCTTTTCACTCAAGTGATTTGGATAATACTTTTATTAAGATGCTTGTATTGAATCGAGAGGATAAACCTATAGCCGCCCCAAGTCCACTGCAACAGTAAAGGTCTTTGTTCTCCATAAAGAGTTCTGTGTATTTCTATGGGGTTTGTGAGGCCTAATATAGTGCGTTTACCCTGACACAGTTCTGCATAGTTAAACTGGATAGGAAAAAATCTAAACTTCATTCTCATTAGTGAAATGAAACTACTCCAAACGTTTTATTGGCCTTCGGGTTTATGTTTTATTGTGTCTAATATCACAGCGCTGTGTAATATCTCGGAGTTTCCTCGGACAGGAAGGGTACTTTGCACATCGCCGTCTCTGTCTGTCTTCAGAGACTGCTGACGTCACAGCTGGGAGCGCGCGCCGGCAGCGCGCGCCTCCCACTGCAGCCCTATAAAGGCCGCGCGCCTCGGCTCCCCGGCTCACTCTCACTCCCTCGCTCACCGAAAGCCTCGAGCCGCGGCGGCCCACGGAGCGCGCTCCCCACAGCTCCTCTCTGCCGAGACGCTGGGCAAGCTGTGGAACACACGAGTCCCCCACGGAGAGAGACGCTCCCCCACCCCCCAAACAAAGAGAAAAAGGCAAAGATGTCTTCCTACGTCTCCGCCGAATGCCGCCGCGTCAGCCCCTGCGTCCGCGGCAACAAGTTCGACACGGCGCACCGCAAGAAGGCCGTGCCCAACATCTTCGAGAACGTCAACCAGGAGTCGGTGATGAGGCTCTTCCAGAAAACGGGCGACGTGAAGGCGGAGGAGAGGGTGAGGAGCATCTTCTCCTACACCCTGGACCCGGAGGAGACGGCCCGGGCTCTGATGGCTCTGAAGCAGAGGAAGAAGGATAAGTTCCTGCAGATCGCGGGCATGGTCCGCCAGCTGCTCAAGATGCGCTGACCGCGCTCGAGCGCTCCTCTCTTTTCTTTGCCCCGCCCGGCGTCTCTCGGGCTCGCGCCTGAGCCGAGTGTGAAAACGCTGCCCGTGCGACTGGGGCACCGCCGAGATGCGCTCCCTGCAGCGCGCGCCCCCCCCAACGCCGCCGCAGCGCGCCTCCGCACCACGCCGAGAGGGGCCACACGTCGCGGCCTCGTGGGCCGGACGCAGGTGACCGGGTCCCTCTAGCTGGAGCCGGAGGGACTCCCCGAACTGACGGGCACATGCACACGTGTGAACCGAGACTTGGTTTCATGGACTCATTCCTCTGGATGCCCGACTGTGAAGCAGCGACCCCCCCCCCCCCCCCCCAACCCCCAGCCCGCCCGTGCAAGGTGCGCGTGGCCGCGCTGATGGTTGGTGCACAGCTGCAATCTGAGACTTTATGGTGCTGAAGAATCTGCCAACACGAATGCCTGTCAAGAACAAATGCCTTGTCTCTCAGTTTTGTCGAAAAAATACTCGTTGGGGGGCCACTGATGTTGTTATTGTCACACAACCTTTGTGACCATGTGATGTGCATTTATGATGTGTTCTTTTGTACATTTTTAAAAAAATAAATAATTTATTTTATATACAAAATCTGAGACCTTGTTTGTCGTTATTACGAGTTACAAGTATTTTACACAATTGTTTCACACACACATCAGGTTATTTGATGTTTCTAAGCAGAATTCTGGTGCATCACGGTGACGTCGATCTTTGAGGACCAGTGAGGTGGAAAGCTGACCGCAAAATCAAACAAAAGAGACCCGGCTTCATGAATTTTAAGAATATAATTGACAGTGTATTGCATGAAGGTTAAAAGTACCTCCTCATTTTGATTTAAAAAATGAAAAATTTGACATGAAACAAATCACCTGCTGCCCCACAGCCGTGACCTTTTTATTAATCATAAGCAGGTCACGTAGTGGTCGTCTTGACTTTGTGCCTGTGGGGTTTGGTGTAGATGAATATATTCACTAAAGAGTAACAACTGTTCTGCAGCGCGTTCAGTCATGTAATTGTTGATTGGGTACATTTCAAGGAAAAATAAATAAATAAATAAAATAGCCTTATTATGAGCACATATGTGGGAATATTGTTATGCAATAAGAGTATTATTAGGGAATACACTTACTCATGAAAGAGAACTTGGTTAATCTTTCATTGGGTTTCCCTCACCGCATTGTGTGTGCTTCACCAGACCAGTGCAAACCAGTTTAGCCCTGTTTGGGCTGCGAGGGTGGGGGCTGGATGGCTTTCGCCTCACAACATGTTTGTACTGGAGTCCTTTTAATCATCCGCGCTCTCGAGATAAGAGCCCGTGTAGCCTGTTGGAGGCTTCTCTGCCTCACCCGTTGATTCTCCCCCCCTCAAAATGAGCATAAACGCTCCCTTCATCATTGTGAACCGCCGTGGAGGTGATGGTGGTGTCTCATCGGAGGCTGGGTGCGCATCAGGGCGCAGAGGTAGACACACACATCACTTGGGTGGATGCTGACTGCTTTAATATTCGATCCGTGTACAGGCTCAAACCAGTTCCCTGCAGGGTGTTGTGCATGCGTTACATCATCTTTATTTGGGCACTGCGTGCCCCCATGTTTTTAGATATGGGAAGCTCCGGTATCAGTCAGGCCAAGGCGGGTAAATCTCAGGTGGCTAATCTCCTGGGACTAGTTACAGCAGTGTTTCTGGGGCGACGGCAGAGCCCGAGATTATATAAATTGCGTCTTTAAACTGCTGCTCCCAGAGCATTTGTAAAGAGGAGGTAGGAAGGCCTTCCCAGCCTTAAGAGTGGTACCAACCTTCTCACCTTACGAAGGAAAGCAAATACGCGTGTTTCCAAGAATGTGAAAGTTGTTGCTTGAAAGAAAACATTTTTTAATAGTTAAATTTAACATTTTAAGTTTTATTTGGATAATAATCTTCAGTTTATGCCAAACGGGTTACAGTTCCCCCACAGTTGGATTTACCACTTTATCAGGTTTGTCAATCACGGGTCTATTTTGGCCCCTTTTATCTGTCAGCTGTCCCTTTTGTTTGGCTCGTGTATCTCACACCAGGCAGCCCCTTTTATTGCCCCCCCCCACGGCTATCTAATTGTTAATAGGAAGAAAAGCTAAATATTTAAGGCGATTGTCTTGGCTGCCCTTGCGGTGCTGGCAGCTACGTTGACCCGTCCTCTCCCACCCTCTTCCTGCCTTTCATTGGCCTCGCATACAGTGGAGGCTTTGATGTGGACAGACACTGTGGCAGACAGCCGCCCTCCAGCCTGGAGGACAGTAACCAATGAGCGAGGGAGACACAGGGTGGAGGTCTGTCTGTCTGTCTGTCTGTCTGTCTGTCTGTCTGTGTGTGGAGTGGAGTGGAGTGGAGTGCGGGCAGGAGTACGCCACAATCATTAGATTGAGAATATAATAAAAGGTGCGTGCTTCAAAAGGTTAATTGTTTCTCTCCTCATAAACGCTGCCGCCGGGGGGGTTCGGTAGAGAAAGAGAAAGACAAAGGCAGCTGGATGAGTGGCGACCGCACAGGGAGTGGCAGTCAACTCGATTCCAGCGCGAACCGGTTCAAACCGAGGGCTGTGATGAGGAACTAAGCAGGAGCTGTGCAGAGGCTTAGGATTAGTCAGCCTTTGGCTGGAAGATCCCGCCGTAAAATCAACAGCCCTGGATACGAGTCAGCGTCCTCTTTGATGAAACCGCGTGGGCTGCAACGCGCTCGGCCTGTCGCACATTAACAAAAGGCTGCTTTTGGTTCTGGTCTGTTATTTTTTAACAAATCGAGCCGACTGCGCCGTCTTTCCAGAGAAATGCAGCAGGGAGGGATGCAAAGGAGAGAGAGAGAGAGAGAGAGAGTGACAGCACGCTTTGGAAACTGCTCATCCGTCCGGTACAACAACTACCTGGTTTCTGGTGGTTTTGGGAGCTGAAAGTGAGAAATGGGAGATTAGGCTTTGATAGATGTGAACCGCCGTTATTTATGAAATGTACACGTGGAAAAATGTCCTGTCCACTTGAAGAGAACCGCATATAGCGCGAGTTCTGTCACATAACTAACTGGCCGCGCTGCAGCGTGTTTTTGGAGCTTAAAGGGAGACGCGGTGGCTGTAGTACGCCGATGGGAACCAGCGTTGTTCACGCAAAGTACACGACATCGTCACCCCGTCATTAAACTTGTTATTTCATATTATCCGTATTTTATTTTTTCATCCTTTTGGGAGCTAAAAGTGAGACATGGCGCGTTTAGGAATTGATGGAAACCAAAGTCGTTGATGAAAACTACATAAAAGTAGAATATCTGCTGTTACTTGAGGAGTTCTCCAGTTTCATGGTTCCTCGTGGAGAAACATGGTATGAGAGATTAAAGTGACAAATGGCAGCTTTGGGGCGTATAGTGAAGTGAACTTCATTTTCCAAGGAAAACTAGTCAAATCCATCCAAGTCAGCTGGTTTCAAGTCAGTTTTGATAGTGATCAGATCAGATTGCTTGTCCATGAATGTGTTTCGGGAGTTAAAAGTTATAAATCGTCCCATTTTGCAATACAGTGACGGAAAGAAATCATTTGTGTGTGTTGTTTTTCACGTTATTGAGTTTTTTTTACTGCAGAATTGTGTTTCCAGAGTTAAGCTCTCGAAAGAAAGAACAGAAAACGTTCTGTTTTTCCGCTAGAATCCATTCAACGGAGCATTCGCAGAGCCTCATTTAAATAAATCTCGTTAATCGTCCGTAACTGGTTCCTGGTACACAAACGCGAGCGGCTTGGATCAAAGGTTAACGACTTTCTGTGTGTCACAGTCACATCCCTAATAATGCTTTCGTCATCTGAATGACAACCACATCTTCTCCACTAAACTTTCAAAAGCAGCTGCTTGAGAGAGGCAGATCTGAGGTCAAGGGGTCACGGTGATGTAACATCCATACAGGAAAGAGGGTCATCGGTGCGCGGAAAAGAAGAATGCAGGAAAAAGAATGCAGGAAAAAGCCCGGGCCACTGACTGTGAGGGTTTGTCTTTGAAGCGCCGGCCTGTCTGACTCACAGCGAGTCCCACAGGACCCCCCCACAAGTGTTTGGTGGCATCATCCGGATTAGCTCATGGTGGAAGTATAACAGAAACACATTCCACAGAATCTGAGCATTCCTCAAACGTCGGCACGTTGGCATGTGGTGGTCTTTGCGCAGATGTTATTTGCTTCGGAGAGTTGAGCACTGACTCCGAGGTATTCCTCTATTGTTTGGAGAACGAGTCAGTGCATTGTGCCTTCTTGTCCTTGCGTCAGCGAGGTGACCGCTGCCCCCTGGACGGCACCCACCGGGAGGCCCGAGGCTCAGAAAGGGCGAAGCTGCCATCTGTCAGGAAGCACCGCTCACCAGTGCGGAATGGTGTAACCCTGTCACGCGTTTGATGCAATGTAAGGCATCCATAGGTATACGCTACTTTGCATACTTGCATTCTCCAATTGTATCGTGGCGATTTTCAACAGAACAGAGGAGACGGAGAGCTCGGGCCGCTTTTCTTTTTTGACAAACGTGGCTGAAGGCCAACGATGACTCAAGAAAATTGCGTAGAAAATGTTTCTGTGACTTGTCACAGGGAAAAGAAGAAACGTCTCTGTGGTCGGGTTAGAAGATTAAATCATTTCCCCTTAAAACTGGACATGACCTCCCATTATTTCACTGTACTCGATGTTAAGACCAACTTCCAACCCGTGTTGGACAAACACAGTGAGCCGACACGCTTGCATCACACTGTGAGTCCAGATGAATCTTTGTTTGGACGGAGGAAAGAGATGAAGAAGGGGCACGTAACTGACAAATCAACTGAAACTGAAACAAGTCTGTCAGAATGTGTAAACTCCAACTCAGGGGGGGCTGGCACATTGCTCAAAGCGCTGTCACAACACCGATTGAGACGTCTGCAGAGCTGCTGGTGGAAGGCGATCAAAGTGATTGCAAGTACAAGAGGGCCTATAAATGTGTAAACTAACAACGTGACAGCGTAGACGAAGCTCGGCGGGCCGGCCTGCAGACGACTTGTGTCAGGAGGCTCTTCCTCTGCAGCTCCACATTGTGTAATTCTGTCATGCAGTTGACTTAATGTACAGCAGCAAATAGACATCACTTTGCCTTCTCTTTTTTTTCCCTCTCTCGGTCTGACTAAATAGTGAGTGAACTTTTGATAGTGGGGCCTTTGAATAATGTGCTGATCACCGCGGGGCTGTGCAGCTGCGTATCTCCACAGGGCGGAGCCGCCTCTGAAACACTCTCACCTTTAGTAACCTCGGCCCTTTGGAGCCGTCTCCCAGACAGGACGGTCTGTTCTCTGAGTTCTCGTGAGATGAGTCCCTGGAGTTACAGAAGAGTCATGTCCAGGGCTCGGTCAGGATGGAGGCGGCGGGGGGTGGAGCGGCTCTATTGTTCACATTTGTCTCTATCGGTGTGTGTTTGTATGTTGTGTAAGTATTTGTGTGCGCGTTCGTATTAGGCAGCTCTGGAGAGAAGCCCCTTCCTGTGTGGCGCTGGGCGGCCGGGGGCCCTGCAGACATGCTGTCTCGCTCCAGTTCCACCACAAGGCCTTACCATTGTTCTGCCCCTGACTCCCTT